GGGGGCCCACGGGGCTCGGAGGGTATAAAGGCCAGGCGGAGGGCGCCCAGCACAGCAAGAGTCGCCGGCGCAGACTGTCCGGTGGGAGTCAGGCGGCCTCTCCTCTCCTCTCGAGAGCCCTGGACGCGCCACAGGCCATGCTGCTGCTGCTGACTCTCGCGCTCCTGGGGAGCCGCCCCTGCTGGGCCGCCCGTGAGTCCGGCTGGTCCCTGGCCCGGCCCAGCCCCCAGGTGGCCACCTCCCCTCTCCATCGGGGAGGGCTTGGGACTCAGCCCAGCCCTTGTCACAGGGGGACTCTGGTCACAGGCCACCCTGTCTGCCCGGAGGGGCATGTCCCCTGCACCGCAGAGGCCACCTGCCCATCCCCATGTGGGCTTCTCTCCTGTTTCTCTCGTCCCTGCAGAGCAGTACGGGTTGGGAGGAGGCCTCTCCTTCAGTACCTCTGGGAGCCACAATGGTGAAATCACGGGGCTGCGGGTGTTCATCGGTGGTGTTAACAACATCAGAGGGTGAGTGGGCTCCAGGTCACAGCCCGACACCCCGTCCCAGCATAACCAGAGTCTGGGAACGTCCTGCCTGGCTCCTGGGGACTCCGTGAGGCCAGCTGGGCCCTTGGAGCCCCCGGACACCTCCCTTGCATGAGTCCCTGTTCCTCAGCCACCTCCTCTGCCCTCACCTGCCCCCTGCCTCCGACTCCACGGTACGTCCTGCCCCTGCTCCCCGGGCTGGTCTAGGAGGGTGAGCTGCACAGGCTGGTGAGTGTGGGAAGTCACCTGCTCGTCAGCTGCTCCGTTGGGAGTGACTTGGGCTCAGGAGGCCCCAGCTTGGCCAGGGACAGCCCCACTGTGAGCCGCCAGGACAGCAGCAGCCCCTCCTGAGGGCCATGACGACCTGACCCACACGGCTCTCCTACGGCGATCTCGGTGACTCCTCCAACAACCACTCCCGCTCTGCAGATCAGGAGCTGAGTCCCGGAGAGCCTGGGTGACCAGCTCAAGGTCACGGGCCTGGCAGTGGCAGGGCAAGGGTTTGAGGCCAGCAGGTCCATCTTGGGGACCCAAACTCTGCCAGGGCTGCTGTCCCTGGGTCAGGAGAGCAGGGTGGGGGCACGGAAGCCCTGGGAGGGGCCAGGTCACCCCGGATGGCGGGGGTTCAAACTTCATCGCCCTCTCAGCATCCAGGTGAAATTTGGAGACAGCTGGGATGATCGACGTGGTGCCTCGGGTGGGATGAGCCAGGAACTCCTCCTGTGGTCGGGCGAACACATCACCGAGATCCACGGCTCATTTGACTTGTTACTCCATTACCTGGCCGTGTGCACTGACCTGAGAGGCTGCGTCTCCTTTGGGAAGAACATCGGCAAGCAGTTCTCCGCCTTCCCCAGCCAACAGGGACAGGTGCTCACGGGCATCTTTGGCCAGTACGGACTCCTCGGCCTCAAGGGCATCGGCTTTACTTGGGATTTCCCGGCAGAGGGGGACACCACCCCAACAGAGGAGGACACCACCGCGACAGAGGAGGACAACACTGCAGGAGATGATGACAGGCTTATTTGGCAATAGTTACGGGGCAGTGTGCAAGGTCACTGACACTGAAGCCAGCTGGGGTGTGGTGGGCTAACAGTCCTGGGGTAAGGGAGTTGTGACGCTGAATCTGACGTCACCAATAAATAAAGCTTCTGCAGGGACAGTGCGTGCAGTGTGGTGCTTGGGTCCTGGGTACCACCAATAGCGCCAAAGCCTTCCCGCCTCCTGGGGGACAAAGCCTCCGGGGCTGGAGCCCAGAGAACCAAGCCGAGGCGTGGGGCAGAGGTGACTCCGCAAAGACCGCGCCCTGATCCCACGATCGATTGTTGAGGAGTCTGCCTCCAGGGCCACCACCGCCCCGTCCCCCAGGCCCATCCCGCCGCCTCTCCCGGCCGGGCTCGGTGCCGGGCTTCTCTGCGTGGCCACGGGGCCTCAGGGCAGCCCCTCGTTCGCCCATTCATGCAGCAGTCATTTGCCAAGGGCGTCCACACCGGGCTCCCCGGGCCCTGGGGGTGCACAGAAGAGGCCAGGTGTGCAGCTGCGCGGCTGGTTGCCCCATGGCGCGGATGCAGAGCAGAGGGTGGCAGGTCACGGTAGCACCTGCACTGATGGGCGCTCATGCGGTGGCTGTGCGTAGGCACCTGCCCAGAGGTGAGGCGCTGAGGGTGTGCTTCAGGGAAGTCTTCTTGGAGGAGGCGCCGTCTGAGCTAAGTCTTAAAGGATGAGGGAGAATTGGCCGAGTGGAGACAAGGAGAGGAGGACGTTCCAGCCCGAGGGATCTCTGGGCAAAGGCCAGAGCCGGAGACAGCTGGGGACAGTGCCCCTCAAAGCGTGATCATTTCCTACAGCAGCACAGGAAACTAATAAAGGCCTAGACCTGGCCCACTCTTTGTGTTCCCCTTCCCAAACCTCACATCTCCTACGGCGATCTCGGTGACTCTGCCAACAATCACTCCCGCTTTGCAGATCAGGAGCTGAGTCCCAGAGAACCTAGGTGACCAGCTCAAGGTCACGGGCCCGACAGTGGCAGGGCCAGGGCTTGAGGCCAGCAGGTGTATCTTGGGGACCCAAACCCTGCCAGGGCTGCTGCTCTGGGTCAGGAGGGGAGGGTGGGGGCATGGAGGCCCTGGGAAGGGCTGGGTCACCCCAGTTCCGGATGGTTCAAAGCTTCACCCAGGGATCTGCGTGCCCCCAGCCTGCCCGATGCTGGGCAGTGAGCTCCAGGGTGCCCCCTCAGCTCGCCTTCTCCCCAGCCTGGGGTCCCGGCTCCCGGCTCCCGGTTGGATGTGTCTGGCTTGGCCTGTGGTGCTGCAAGGGTGGTGGCACCCCCTCCTGCACCCAGGCGCCCACACTCTCATCCTGGGGAGCCACTCGCAGTGGCCACCGGGCAGGGGACTCTTCGCGGCCACCTGGTGGCTGCCTTGGGCCCTTCAGGGAGCGCCCAGTGGGTCGGACGCCGGGGCAGGGGCAGGGGACACTCCAGTGGTACACAGCGCTTGTCCCATCCACGTCTTGGTAGGCGTCCAGGTCTGTCCCCTGGCCTTTTCCCAGCCCTGGGGAGTGGCCATGGCCGAGAGCTCCTTCCTTCCACCAGCCTCAGACCCCACGAGATTTCCGGGAGTAGGGCCCCACCTCCCCTCCACGTGGAGCTGTCGCCAGCGCCCCCTCTATCTGGCACAATGCCACAGCGCCCACGCAGGGACCAGACGCAACACCGTGGCCAAGTGTACCCAGCGCGGACCACGGCAGCTCCTCCGCACTGCCCAGCCCGGCCGAACACCGCAGGCCTCCGACCCACGGCTGCTGCAGGTGCGGGCCACCCACCTGGGAAATACCACACGTGCGATAACAAATTGTGCCCCTTGGTGTGAGAAATAAAATGACAGTGATCGGCTGGAGGGACAGGAGCCTGGGGCCAGGCCCAGGGAGGAGCTAACTTCTAGACGGAGGCCTGGATCGGGAGTAGGGGTCACCCAGGAAAGGGGGGACACTCCAGATGCAGGAAACAGTGTCAGGAAAGGCCAGAGGCAGAGAAGGCTGGGCACACAAGGCCCCATGTGGCCCGTGCGGGCGGAGCAGAGTGAGGAGGGGAACAGACAGGGACAGTGGGACTGGGACAGGAGCCGGAGGGTGCTGTAGTGGTGTCAAGTGAAGGCTGGACTGGTTCCCCAGTGGGTTTTAATCTCGCCATGAGAGAGGGTAGCAAGGGGACCGGGCCGCAGCCAGTGCCCCGACCACTCCATCCCCAGGTAGATGAAGAAGGGGAGCCCGGGACACTGCAGAGTGCGGAGTACATTCTGTGGGGTGCCCCCTGCCCTGGTGTGGGGAGCCAGAAGCCCCTCCAGCCTTGCCCCAGCCTCACCAGTGACCCGGGAGGGTCTGCTGCTGGTGGACGCATTTTCCACACAGCAGGGCTGCGGGCTGCGGAGGGGGAGGAGTCAGGCCAGAGCTCCTCCCACCTTCTGCTCACAGCGTTTAGGCATCTTGGCAAGTGCAGATCTGCTTTCACAGTCCAGAGGGCCCACAGAGTCTGCCCTGCTGGGCTGCTTCCTTGGCCGCTCTGATGCTGGGGTCGGGGGACGCTGATGGGGGACACACAGGGTCGATGTCCTCCCAGTAACCCCGCCCCAGCCACTTACGGTGCAGCTGTTGCAACTCTCTCAGTGCTCACAGCCTCACCTGGGGTCTGCAGTTCTAGAGCATCTTGTACCCCCAGGACCACCCTCAACATGTGCGGCGGCGGGGAGAGGGTGTCAAGAGAGAACTGTCCTCCCCTAGAGTCCTTGTCCTCAGTGGGCCAACACTGAGGGCCCAGTAGGACTGTTCCTCTGTTGCCAGCAAGTGTAACCTCAATGTCTGTACAAACTATTAGCACCTTTACCTCCCCTGCCTTGGTTTCTGTACTTCTTCACCTCTGCTCCCTGGGACCTACTGCCAGATAAACTCCCTGTACCAGGTCCTGGTCTCGGCCAGCCTTGCAGGGGCCATGGTGAGACCGAGAGTGTCTGGTGTGTGTGTGCCGGGGAAGCCTGGGATGGGGACGTTGGGAGTGTTTCCTCCCTGGCACCCCCACCCCCAGCCTTCCCAGCCCCGGACACGCGGCAGCTGCGACTGCTCTTCCGTCCAGTATCTTCCCGGAGAGAGCTCTGCCGTTTGTAACAAAGCCTGGGGTAATGCACGTGGGTGGGCAAAGACTTAGGGGTTGGGGCAGCTCAGGGGCTGAACTGGACGTGGGTGACTGGGAGGAGGTTGTCAGGGAGCCCCCAGGCTGGAGGAATGCTCTGCCAGGCGTCACTCAAACGTGTTTATTAGCACACAGGACAGGAGAGACCAGAGCCTGGCTCAGCAGGTGACTCGATCCTCACGGGCGCAGGACACTCAAGCCTCAAGCTGCAGGAGTCGGGGAGCCCAGAGCAGCGAGAGGAGGAGCAGCGGCAGGGAGGGGTCCGGCCTGGGCATGCCACTCTGGGTCATCTGCTTCTGGATCCATCTGAAGTGCTGGCTGACGTTGGTGTAGACACCGGGCCGGTTGGGCCGACCACAGCCTATTCCCCAGCTCACGATTCCAACCTGATACCACCGTCCCGCCTTGTCGCACACCAAGGGTCCGCCTGAGTCACCCTGGGGAGCAAAGAGGGTGAGCGCAGCCTGGGGCAGGGTCGGGGAGCAGCAGAGAGGCTGGGAGAGCTGGATGGGCCTTGGGGCTGGGTGTGAACCGTCCTCCTCCCTGGGCAGCCACCAAGCTTCAGTTCCTGCATCTGCAAAGTGGGCCCACAGCCTCTACCTCCCAGGGTGAGTGTACGGATCAAATGAGGTAAGGGACACAGGCTGCTCTTAGCCCTGGGACTGGGAGAGGCGGGAGGGACACTCACGAAGCAGGCATCCTTGCCGCCTTGGGGATCACCAGCGCAAACCATGTCTCCCCAGATGTTCATGTGGAAATCAGACCTTTTATACAGGTGGTTGCACATGGAAGTGTTTATGATGGCAACCTGCACTTCCTGGAGGGTGTAGGGAGATGGCAGAGCTATTGGGGGATGGGGGGACAGAGAAAGACAGCAACTTGAGCCTCCTCTCTAAGGAGGAGCGGCGTAAGCTGTGGGTGGGCTGTCTCTGGAGCACCCATTGTGCCTGGCATGTTCCTCTCGATGACTCCCAGCTGTAGCCCAGCACATCACAGGTGCTCAACAATATCACAGAAGGACCCAGGGGATGAACAGGCTGTTAGAGGTGTCCCCTGGGCCTCAGTTTCCCTATCTGGTGGATGGAGGTGATGGTCCCTGTCTGAGCCAGTGGAGACATTTTACTAAGCCAGAACATGCAGGGGGAGGGGCCGAGGCTGACATGGTTTATGACAAACCCAGCCCAGCGGTGCCAGGCCAGGTGGCATGGCCCATTGGGCTCGCTTGCCTCAGTGGCATTCGGGTGCTTCAGGACCTGAGCCAAGCACTTTCCCAAGCGCTCCAAGGGCCCCTTCAGCACCCGGCAGTGCAGCAGCCTTCAAGACACACTCCCAGATGAGGACAGGGTCGGGGGAAGATCCCCCCATCCCGCAGCAAGGCACCGGGGAAGTGTCGGAGCCTGACGTGACCCACATCTGTCCAACTCCTAAGTCTGGGTCCTGATCAGCACCTTCTCCTGCAGAGGACGACGACAACGACACCTAACGTGCCGGCTGAGCCTCCTGTGCGCACGGGACTCTTCCAAGCCCTTGTGGGTTTAACCACCTCAGAGCTACCCTATGAAGACAGAACTATTACCACCCTGTTTCACAGATGAGACCCCTGGCACACGTAGACAGAGAGCCTGCCCAAGGCCTCCCAGCTGGCACGAGGCAGCGCTCAAGTTCACACCGGGCGGCAACTCCAGAAGCACCTCCCACCTGCCTCTTGGGCACTGGGAGAATGAGGCTGGGCCTGAGGCATGGTGGGACCCCCGTGGTGGCCCTTCACCCATAATCACTCATCCTGTGCAGCAGGGTCCCCTTCTGGGGGAAGGGAAAAACCCCTCCTCTAGAGGGAGGCCAGATGTGTGACCCTGGGGACATCCCTTACCCTGCCTGAGCCAATGAGCCCTAACTTCTCCTCCATTTACTAGTTGTGGGGCCTTGTGAAATTCCCGTAACTCTCCCAGTTTTCTCATCTATGCAATGGGTATGAAAACGTTCCCCACTTCACCTCTAGGTAAGCTCCAGGAAGGACAGAACTGTTACCTTGCTCACTCCTGGGTCCCTGAGTCTAGAACAGTGCTGAGCACACAGCATGTACGCAAGGAGCTGGATCTGCTCCTGTCTCTACTGCCACAGGATGGCGCGGCACGGGCCAAGCCAGGGAGCCCTGGGAAGGGGCATTCTGGTAGAGCAAACATGCCCAGTCTGGGGGCTAGAGGCCCCGGCGCACCTCTCCAGGTGCTGTGCCCAGCGCGTTCAGGGGACTTGTATTGAGGGATGAGAGGTCAGGCCCACGGGGACCCCCAGTGGGATTGCAGCGCTGAGCTGAGGCTACAGGAGCATGGTGTAGAGAGTCCAAGGAGACAGAAATGGGCTCGGGCTGTGGAGTCAGCCAGAGCCACGTCCTGGGAGCTGCGGCAGGCACGGAGGAGCCAGAGGGGGTAGCTAACGCCTGGGGGTGCGTGAGCAGCATGGGGAAGTGGCTGAGGCCTCTGTCACCAGGCTCTCCCCATCCCCCACCTCTGCAGCCTGGGCCTCCCTGTGGCCCCCACAGTCTGGGGCAGCAAGAATTGAGTGTTTGGTTCCTGCCCTGGCAGGTAGGCGCGAGCGCAGAAAGGCAGATGAGGAGAGGAGGGGAGCAGGCCGGCAGGGGTCCCGCTGAGCCCAGGACAAGGAGGGGGCTGCTGTGCCTGAGTCACAGGGACAAGTGACTGAGAGTAGGACCCCCCCACACCTGCCTGTCCCTATGCTTACGCTTATCCTCTGCGATGGCCCCCCAGCCGGTCACCCAGCAGTCCGTCCGGTTCTCGAACTCTAATGTGGAGGCCAGGAGACAGATGGGCTGGATGTGGTTACTGTACACGACGGAGGTGGACAGCTTCACCATGGCGATGTCATAGGATACTGACCCCACGAACTTGGGGCTCAGATAAATCCTCTCCACCTGGTAACGATTGTAGTAGGCCTGCAGGTTCCAGAAAGATGGCATGGAAGTCAGCTCGCCAAACTGGACCGACCACGAAAAGGGGTCAGTCGACCTGGTAGGGAGGAGAGAGCAGTCAGGGGCCCCGGACGGGGCTTGGCCACCTGAGGGCCCAGTGCAGGAGCTGAGGCTGTGGGGCTGCTACTCCTGCCCCTCCTGGGCACAACAGCCCCTGTAGACAGGGGACAGCCCAGAGAGGTCACAGCCAAAGTCCCAGAACCTGGGGACTGTGAGGGAGGGTGGGGTCTTGTCCGCTCACAGAGCTGTCCTGAGGATACTTGAATCCAGCCGAGTCCTCCAGCGGGACCCCCAGGCAGCTGCAAAGAACGAGCAGATGCGCCGGGCAGCGTGGGCGCCCGGCAGGATGCGGCCAGCACAGCTTCCCTGGGAGTGCGCCACACCCAGGCTCGGTGGCCAGCAGGTGCCCCTCATCCCTGTCCTGCACTCCTGTGGCACACAGCCACCAGAGGTGGCATGAAGGCGGATGGCACAGAGGGTGGTGCCATTTGGGTTAAGGAAAAAAAAAAGAATACCCCCAAAAGTATGTAGAAATATTCTCGAAGAACATTCTGGAAGAACCTGAACAGGGTTCCGTCCAAGAGCACTAAAGGGAACTGGAGTGAGTGTAATAGGTTGCAACAGAGCAGGATCCCAGGAGAACACCAGGCCACACCCACGTGTCATGTGCCCGCCCAGTGCCTGTCCAGGCTTGGTGGCCAAGGGCAGTGGCCCCACCCTCCCCCGCCTCCCGCGCCAGCTACCCGCACCTGACCCCAGACTCACTGTTCGAAGCAGTGAGCAGCGGTGAGCACCCAGCGGCGGTTGAGCAAACTGGCTCCGCAAGTGTGGGAGTCCCACAGCCGCAGGCTCCCCTGCCACGGCCAGCGCCCGAGCACCGAGTCTTCTCCACCCACCACGCGCGGCGGGATGGTCCGCTGGCCGCAGGGCCCTGGGATGGACAGACGGACCCCGGGCTGAGCAGCGAAGCAGGCCCGCCCCTCCCGGCCTAGCCCCCGCGGTACGTGCAGGGGGCGTCCCCGAGGATCCGCGCGTCCTCCCAGGGCCCCCGCGCGCGTCCTGGGTTCGTGTCCAGGTGGAGGAAGGTGACCGGGGGGCCCTCCCACGTGGTCTGCAAGGCCCGCGCCTCCCCGCAGGGCCCATCAGTTACACCAACGAGTTTTCGATCCTGGGGTGGGAGAGGAATAGATGAGGCCCCCTCTGGGCCCCAGCCCATCTGCACCGCGCAGGGAGGCGCGATCCGGGCGCCTTACCTGACAACAGGTTCGCCTCCTGCGGCTCTGGGAGGAGGCAGGAAGGTGAGCTCCCCGTGGCCCGGCGCCCCCCATCCCGCGCGGCCCCCCTGCTGCCCCCGCCACGCCCCGTGCCGCCACACCGCGACCCCCGCGCGATCCCCGTGCCGCCCCCGCGTCCCCAGCCCGGCAGGGGCGCCCCGGAGCTCACCCGGCTTCCCGAGGGGCGCCCGCGCCAGCAGCAGCGCCAGCAGCAGCGCCCCGGCCCGCGCGCCCATGGCCTCGGCTCCGCAGCGTGGCGCCCCCTCTGCTTCCTCCTGCTCCAGGCCGGCTGGGCGCCCCCTGGGGAGCGGGAGCCAGGGCGGCCCTGGCCCAGCACCTGCCCCAGCTGGGCTCCTGCGCCCGGGGCTGTCTGGGCACCCTCAGGCCTCACAGCGCCCTGGCTTTCCGCTCCTGTGGGCCGGGTCCCCAACCACACTCCTTGGCGTGGCCCAGGGACCGGTGGACCTGAACAAGCCCTTTCTTTTCTGCAACCCAGAGGTCCCATCTGTCCCGCCGTGGCCCCCTCTCCTCCACCCACTGCTTCCTCCGAGACCCAGGACCTGGCCCACAGCTGGAGCCCCCGTCAGGGCGCATAGCGGGTCCTCCCTGTGCTGGGTTGGGGCCTAGCACTGTTGGGCTGGGGCAGGACGAGGCTCCTTCACGGCACTTCCTTGGGGACAGTGATGGTCCTGGGCTTGGTCCTCCCTCAGCTGGCAGCCCGCTGTTGCCCACCTGCCCAGGCCACACCCTGGCGCTGGCTCTTGCTCTGCTCCCATCACTGTGCTTGGGGTTAACCCTTTCTGGAAGCTGACACTGCCCTTGGCAGGCTTCATTGTCTGGGGATCCCGGGTGGAAGGAAAGGGCAGAAAGGGAGACAGACGCCACTAGGTGGTTCAGCCGTGTCCCTGCGACCTGTGACTCTGGAGGGGGTCCCTGGAGGCTGTGCCTGCTTGGTGCGTCTCTGTGTGTCCTGAACACCTGCAGGGACACCGGGGTGGGGAGGGGTTTGCAGAGCGATGAGCTCCCCAGCATCACCTTCCGGGGGCTCCCTCCAGAGGGACTCCCAGGAGCTTCCTCCAGGTGCCCACTCTCTGGGAGTCCTGGCCTGGGCCCAGGTGGGGAGGCAGGGGCGGGCAGAGCCAGGGTCCCTGCCTGGGGAGCAGTAGTGGAGATGGCCAGGTGGTGTCCTCGATCCAGGGCACCTCGAGGGAGATGCTGGCGAGACACCAGGAGCTGGGGACCAGAGCTCCTTCTCCAGATGTTGATGCGGGCCCAGTACCACGGCTCCTGCACTTCACATGTTGGGCCCTGCACCCCCACCCGAGACGCCCTGCAGTGAGCTGGGCCGTGGGCGTGGGCTGGGGACTCGGGCAGAAAGGAGCCCAGTGGGAGGCCAGGGCTGGGTGGGGACTAGGCCCCCTGAGCACAGCCAGGGGGCGAGGTTTTCCCTAAATGTACCTTCCCTCTGTGTCCCATGGCATCACCACACTTGTACTGGGCCAGGCTCCTGCATACTCCCTGCTGTCAGGAACACGCGTGGCTCATCGCCCAGGACACTGCGCCCACAGCCACCGTGGGGAGGCCCAGAGAGGCCCTTCTCAACTGCAGCCCAAGGGATTGCCCCCGTCCCAGGTCCTGCCAAACACTCTGGGGACTCCCACGGCCCTAGAGAGCCCCTGCCCACCTACTGTCTCCTTCCCATGACCACCTACCTGTCCCTAGTCCCCGGGGTGTCCTTTCCTAGTGAGCTCCAAGCTTGCTTTGCCCTCAGGGTCGCCTCTCCCTGCAGCCTCCTCTCCAGACAGCTGCGGGCTGGCTTCCTCCCCTGCCCAGCCTGGCTCTCTCTGCCCCTCGCCCATCTAAAGCAACCCCTTGGCCCCCACTGACCATCTATCTCACCGTCCTGATGTATTTTGTTCCTAGAATGTAGCAATATCCAAAGTGACGTTGTTTTTCTTTGTGGCTGTGTCACTGGCTGCCACCCAGCACTGTGCACAACACGTTGAGTTTGTTGAATTGAAGGGTTGGTGGAGCACAGAAGGGGGAGAGGGCAGAGGGCAGAAAGGGCAGAGAAATGGGAGGCGTGTAGGCTGGCAGAGTGTCCCCAGGGTGAGGGGCACTGAGCCAGTGGGGCGACCTGCCCAGGACTGGCCCTGGCTGTGGGCTTCACTGAATGGCTCTCAGGATGCCACTTGGGGAATATCTCAGCTCTTTGGAAGCCAGAGGCAGGGTCTGCAGGCTCAGGAAGGCCTTGGGGGTCAGGGTGGCCCCTCCAGGAGGTGGGGGTGGCACTTTGTCCCCTCCTTCCACATCACTGTGTCACACCGGGCCACCGCCCCACGTGGTTCCCGTGGGGGAGTCTGAGGAAGTCGGCAGCAGCAGTGGGTGCTCACGTCCACGGCTGCTGGAGCAGGAGGGGTCTTCCAGCGAGGGCAGAGGGGCTCATGTGCCTTCTCCGTGGGACACCCCAGGGGATGACCTGGCACCATGTCCTGGTGGTACCTGTTAGCCGTGAGTGGTTCAGGAGGCCTCGGGAGCGTGGCGACCCTGTGATGTCTCTGGCGGTCGGCCGTGGCTGTGGTCCGATATCCAGTGATTGGTCATGGAGACCAAGCGTGGGCGCTTCTTCTCCTCCGGGGGCTGCGAGTGCAGGGAGCGAGTGCCCAGGCAGGCAGGGCCCCGGCCCAGCCCTGCCCAGGACCCTGGGATTCCCCCCAAGCCTTGTCAGTGATGCCAGGGTTCACCCCAGCCCTATTCATGACCCTGGGATTCTCCCTGCAGGCCTGCAGTTGACCTTAGGACCCCCAGGATGTGCTGCTCTGGCACCCACTGAGCCTAGGGGCAGGGCTCCTTGGGCTAGCCCTGAAGCTCTCAGCCTTCTGTTTCCCTGTCTGAAAAGTGGGGCTTTTATAAAAAGGCCGTATATTCAAAGCAACCCCCCAATGCAGAAGGAGCCTAGAAACCAAAGAATGAGACCATATATTAAGCCACAAAATAAGTCTCAACAAATTTTTTCAAATTGAAATGATGTCAAGTATCTTTATGTACCACAATGGTACTAAAAACCAATAATGAGGAATTTCCAAAATTGCAAATACACGGATATTAAAAAACATAGTCCTGAATAACCACTAGGTCAATGAGGAAATTAAGGAGGAAATAAAAAAGTGTCTTGAAACAAATAAAAAGTAAAACAACATACCAAATCCTATGAGATACAGAAAAAGCAGCTATCAAGAGGGAAGCTTATAGCAATATGCCCACATCGAAAAAGCAGAAAGATTTCCTATAAACAATCTAATGATATACATCAAGGAAGTAAAACAACAGGAACAAACCAAACCCAAAATTAGTAGAAGGAAAAAAATATTTAATAATAAAGCTAAGAGCAGAACCAAATGAAATAGAAAGTAAAGAAACAATGCAAAGGATCGATGAAACGAAGTTGTTTTTTTAAGATAAAATCAATAAACTTCTAGCTAGACTAACAAAAGAGAAAATTGAAATAAAATCAGAAACAAAAAAGGAGACATTACAACGGATACAACAGAAATACAAAAGAACATCATAGACTATTATGAACAACTATATGCTAACAAACTGGAAAACCTAGCAGAAATGGATGAATTCCTGGACACATCCAACCTACCAAGATTGAATGAGGAAGAAGTAGGGAAACTGAACAGACCAGTAAAGTAATAAAGACTCCCTACAAAGAAAAGCCCAGGACTGGAGGGCTTCACTGCTGAATTTTTCCAAACTTACAAAGAAGAATTAACACCTATTCTCTTCAAACTATTCCAAAAGATTCAAGAGGAAAGAATTATCCCTAACTCCTTCTGTGGGGCCAGAATTACTCTTACATGAAAACCAGACAAGAATACAACAAAAATAGAAAACTACAGGCCAATATCCCTGATTAACATATGCACAAAAATCATCAACAAAATACTAGCAAACTGAATCCAACAGCATTTCAAAAAGATAATACACCATAATCAATTGGAATTTGTCCCAGGGATGCAAGCATGCTTCAGCATTTGCAAACCAATAAATGTGACCCCTCATATCAACAGAATGGACCACAAAAACCATATCATCATCTCAATAGCTGCAGAAAAACCACTTGGTAAAAGTCATTTTCATGATAAAAACTGTCAACTCAGCATAGAAGGAACATACTTCATAGTAAAGGCCATTTATGACAAACCCACAGCCAACATCATACTGAATGGAGAAAAGCTGAAAGCATTTCCTCTAAGAACTGGAACAAGACAAGGATGCCCACTTTCATCACTCCTATTCAACATTGTACTAGAAGTCCTAGCCAGAGAAATCAGGCAAGAGAAAGAAATATAGGGCATCCAAATTAGAAAAGAGGAAGTCAGTTTGTCCCTCTTTGCAGATGATATGATCTTATATCTAGAAAACCTAATGACTCCACAGAAAAACGCTTAGATCTGATAAATAAATGCAATAAAATTTGCAGGGTACAAAATCATCATAGAGAAATCAGTAGTGTATCTATACACTGATAATGCACTAGCTGAAAAAGAAATCAAGAAGGCAATCCCGTTTACAATACCTACCAAAAAAAAATAATGCCTAGGAATAAATTTAACAAAGGAAGTGAAAGACCTCTACAAGGAAAACCACAAAACACTGATGAAAGGGATTGAAGAGGACACAAAGAAATGGAAAGGCATCCCACGCTTATGGTTCAGAAGAATTAATATTGTTTAGCTGGGCATGGTGGCGTGCACCTGTGGTCCCAGCTACTCAGGAGGCTGAGGCAGGAGGATGACTTGAGCCCAGGGATTGGAGGTTGCAATGAGTTGTCTTGATGCCACTACACTCTTAGCTCAGGCAACAGAGTGAGACCCTGTTGAAGGGGAGAAAATAATTGCAAACTATTCATCCAACAAGGTACTAATATAAAAGGAACTTAACAGTAAAAAACAAAAATAATCTCATTAAAAAGTGGGCAAAGAACATGAATAGGCCGGGCGCGGTGGCTCACGCCTGTAATCCTAGCTCTCTGGGAGGCCGAGGCGGGCGGATTGTTTGAGCTCAGGAGTTCGAGACCAGCCTGAGCAAGAGCGAGACCCCGTCTCTACTAAAATTAGAAAGAAATTAATTGGACAACTAAAAATATATAGAAAAATTAGCCGGGCATGGTGGCGCATGCCTGTAGTCCCAGCTACTTGGGAGGCTGAGGCAGGAGGACCGCTTGAGCCCAAGAGTTTGAGGTTGCTGTGAGCGAGGATGATGCCACGGCACTCCAGCCCGGGCAACAGAGTGAGATTCTGTCTCAAAAAAAAAAAAAAAAAAAAGAACATGAATAGACATTTTATGTTCCTTCAGGTCATCAGATCTGTTGAGAAGGTGCCGCAAATATTGCCCTAATCTCAGTGATTTGTTGTGTAATGAAACCGAATTGTACGAGGACGATATTGCAACAGTGGCATCATTGGTAAAATTCAGTTGCCTCATGTGAGTAAGTCATACGCTAATACTGACATTAATGACCAAATGTACTGAGGGTTGAGTTAAAGCCTCCTCAGGATGTACTATTGATGGAAAAGACCAGCGTGAGGAGGAACTGGATCTATTAATAACCGTCAGCTAATCTGCACTTTAAACAGTTCCGCACAGGCTTCCCATAAGGTGTGAATGGCAATAGATCAATGGGGGAAATGAGTCGCCAAATCAGAGCAAAATATACAGTTGACATAATGCTTTATTATGTAAGTCAGTTCCTCCACGTGTTGGCCATAGTCATAGTGACACAATTGCTGTTCCTTTACATAAACCCATATGTGAGGAGTCTGGCTCTTCGTTAAAAACCCATATGTGATATTTCAGGCCTGATTGTAGGCAATTTCAGGGCTGTGCCCAGCAGGCCTCAGGAGGAAGCTGCCCTCCCTACACCAGCCTTGGTGCACAGCCAGTGCACTGTGGTCTTGGGAAGGAGCCGAGGCCAGGGACCTAGGCGCCCCCACCCTAGCCAGCCATGCTCTTATTTGCACTTGCATTCCTAGACTCAGATGCTCATAAAGCTATGGCTGTTTTGTGTAGCAGCCAGGGGTGCCTTACAGCAAAAGCGAACTCAGCAGGCTTAGGGTGTCAAATGCTGGACATCCAATAAAGGCTGGCCCTTGGCCAGGTCCTGGGAGGAACTCTAAGCCCTCAAATGTCCTGCCTGATAAGAATGTCACTGCCCACCTGGAGCCTTCCCGCCCCTCCAGGCAGTTTATGCTAAAACATGATTGGTGGCAGGGCCATGGGCCACGCGGCATCCCTCGACCTCCGGAGGGCCCGGAGACGGACTGACTGGTGTCAGCCCACCTGCTCCAGGCCCACACGACCACTCTCCAGTACAAACCCTGGCCACCACGGCTCAGGGAGCCTCGCTGGGTGGCAGAACCTCATGTGTGCTGCTGCACTGGCTGTTGGGAGGACTGGGCGCTGCCCACAGACTGCGCTGGGAGAGCACCTGGAATTTCCGCCCTGGGCTCTGCCGGGCTCTGACCTGTGCACCTGTCACTGCGGAAACCATGACCAGGAGTCCGCTGGTTTTGCTGAGAACTGTGAATCACTGACCCCGAGGGTGGTCTCGTGGACCCGACTCAGTTGGCGCTCACAGCTAGGCCGGAGGGCCGCTTGGGCGCGTTGGCAGCCCCACAGCTTCCCCACAAGGAAGGACAGGTGCCGTAGGCTCCGTGCAGTCTCGTGGGGCCTTCTGCAGGGCAGCGGGCAGAGAAGTAGGCTAAGAGCCCTCCAGACGGGGAACACGGCCGCCCTCGTTCTGTGGGTCCTTCCTCCACCTGGACGCCACCCCGGGACCATCACGTTTAGCAACAGGCGACCCGCTGTTAGGCCTCCAGTCTGCCCTCAAGGAAGACTTGTTAATGAGCTTTAACGGGGGCTCCGGCTGTGGGCCAGGTCCTGGGTCCCGGAGGAAGCAGTGGGTGGAGGAGAGGGGGCCACGGCGGGACAGATGGGACCTCTGGGTTGCAGAAAAGAAAGGGCTTGTTCAGGTCCACCGGTCCCTGGGCCACGCCAAGGAGTGTGGTTGGGGACCCGGCCCACAGGAGCGGAAAGCCAGGGCGCTGTGAGGCCTGAGGGTGCCCAGACAGCCCCGGGCGCAGGAGCCCAGCTGGGGCAGGTGCTGGGCCAGGGCCGCCCTGGCTCCCGCTCCCCAGGGGGCGCCCAGCCGGCCTGGAGCAGGAGGAAGCAGAGGGGGCGCCACGCTGCGGAGCCGAGGCCATGGGCGCGCGGGCCGGGGCGCTGCTGCTGGCGCTGCTGCTGGCGCGGGGGCCCCTCGGGAGGCCGGGTGAGCTCCGGGGCGCCCCTGCCGGGCTGGGGAC